ATGTATTGCAGGAGGCAAATCTGCTTCAAAAGACCTCTTTAAAGTGTTGAAGAGCAAAGATGTCAGTTTGAGGCCTAAGGTATGCCTGACTCAAGCCATAGTATTTTCAATAACCTCATATGCATGTGAAAGTTGGAGAGTGAATAATGAAGACTGTAGAAGAATCGATGAATTTGAGTTACGGTGTTGGAGGAGAATATTGAAAGTACCATGGACTGTTGGAAGGCTTACAGACAGAATGTTCATTAGAAGCCAGGATGGCCAGATAGCATCTCTCATGCTTCAGAGGAACCAGTCCCTAGAGAATGATATCATGCTTGGTAAAGTGGAGGGGTCAGTGAAAAAGAGGAAGACCCCCAACAAAATGGATTGGTCTAGTGGCAGCAGCAATGGGCTCAAGCATAGCAATGAATGTGAGGTTGACTTAGGACCAGGCGGTGTTTCATTCTGTTGTGCATAAGATCATTATGAGTAAGTACCGACTTGACAGCACCTAACAACAACAAAAGAAATATGGATACTGTTTCATGTTTTTGCAGTTTTCTCAGTACCATTTGTTAAAGACTGTCTTTTCTGGATTCTCAATTACGTTCCACGGGTCTATGTATCTGACATTGTATCGGTACCAGGCTGTTTTAACTACTATGGCTGTATGGTTCTGAGGTCTGGGAGTGCGAGGTCTCCTATTATTCTTTAGTAGTGCTTTGCTTGTGCAGAGTCTCTGTCCTTTCTACATGCAGACTCTCTTTCCTTTCCATGTAAAGTTGGTGATTAGTTTTTCCAACTCTTTAGATAATGGTGAAGGAATCTGGATTGTAATTGCATTATATCTGTAGATTGCTTTGGGTAGTGATGGCATTTTCTGTGTGTAGGTATTTTGTGTCTCTTGTTAGATTTGTTCCTAAGTACTTTATCTTTTGCATGGTTATTGTAAATTGTGCTATTCCCCTGACTTGTGTTTTGGAGTTCTCTTTGTTAATGTCGATAAACCTGACTGATTTTTGTCAGATCTTTCATTCTTCCACTTTATTGAGTCTTCTATTAGTTTCAGCAGCTTTCTTGTTGAGTCCCTGGGATTTTTCATATATGGCATAATACCATCTTCAAGTAGAGATACTTTTATATCTTTGCCAATTTGGGTGTCTTTTTTTCCTTTTCTTACTTTATTGCTCTGGTTAGGACTTCCAATACAATATTGAGTAGGAATGGTATTAAAAGGCATGCTTGTATGGTTCATATTTACAAATCGAATGTTTTCATTCTCTCTCCATTGAGAACAATTTTAGTCATTGGTTTTGTGTCTATGCCATAATTGAGTTGAGGAATTT